TGTGTATATGCATACATAATGAGAGTCTGCTGTAATTCCAGTCATCAGTTGGTGGATAGTCTTTAGCAAAGCAGCTGTGATTCATGATAACCCCTTCCTTTCTCTGTGCCCATCAGGCAGTTTGCTGCATCAAGACCACCACCTGATATGTATGACTTCAAAGTCATCAACATAGATGCATCCAAGGTAAATTCAGTCCTCATTAAAATCTGTTTTTAAAATAAGATGGACGAACAGTGATTCATAATTTTTATCTTAATTTTCATTCTACATTGTCAACATACATGTAGAGCACAAAGACTGGCATAGGATTTTTTTGATGAAAAGGGGTTGATTTTTTATCAACAGAGGTTGTCATGTTAACATGCACAGATACATGTACATTTAGGAAGCTTTGCTTTCCAGAATTTCTTGGTGTCACAAAGGAGTGAAGACCACATTGGTTTGTTTCTTTTCAGAGACAGAAGAGTGATGAGCTTACCAAGATCATGGGTGACCTTTCAATCCCAGAATCCTCAGGGCAAAGTAATAAGGGTGATGACCTACTTGAACTCATGGACAGTACCTCATGATTCACATTCCTTGGGAGCCACTCCCTCCCCATCACGCCCATGGCAAGACTGTGGCGACCTCCTGGTAGAACCATCACCCCAGTACCATGCTCTAATCTGCCATACATACCTCCCTTGATACTGCTAATCTTTGTAACAAACCCCCCCTCCTTGTATCACATACATGTACCTCTCCTTCTACCACACATTTTACTCTTCCCCTCCCCAAAACTAGACATTCACAAATATGCCTGTCTTTATCCTACAAACTTTCTGAAACATTCTTGATTTTGTAACTGTACGTTCTTCATTCCATACTGAGGTCAGTGCAAGCACAGGGTACATACATTTTGGGAAACAAAATTTTTCTCATCAAAATTTGGAAAAGAGTGACATTGTAAATAGACTACATGTACATATATATGCTGGATCATGGTAGCAGTTGTAAAGTCTGTCCCTTCCCACAAACTTCTCCCCCATACCATGTCAACCTCAACCCTTCCCTACCAGGCTCCCATGCTCCAGCATAGTCCCACTCTTCATGTGTATTCAAAATACTTCATGTCACACAATCTGATCAGTCAGATATTACACAGTTTCTTATGGGTTTGTCCACTTCAACCCTTTTTCTGAAATATGCAGTGTTATACGTACCATACATGTGTTACAGCAAACAGTTGCTCAGATTTTAACACAGATTTTAATTGACTGTTAGTAGATGAAGCAAAGGTTGACTGCGCAAAGATGAAATACAGAACTTGTGCTTAGCTTTATTTGGATTGCTTTTATTGCAGTGATCAAAATACAGTGATTTACGTACACTAAAGTAATATGATCTGCATTTAGACAATTTGTATGGTGAAGCTAGACAACTTATTGCTTGGATAGTGGTACATGCACATGTACTTAAACTTCAGAATAATGGCTTCAGTCTTTAAAAAAAGTACTTAAAGGCACAGAAAGAAATGGATTGTTTGAATCCATTTTGGGGCTTGTGTTTTGAAGTACATGTCCTAAAATGCAATTTGCACTTAAAGTACCGGTACAGCTTTATTTCACTATGCACACACGCTTGTAACTTTTAAAAAAATGCCAATTTGGATGTGAAATGCCATGTCACACTCTCTGAATACAAGACAGTTTGATTGCTTAAAAGCTGTAATTCACAAATGCATGGAAAGAACAGTAACCCGAACAAATAAGGATTCCTGTGTATTTGTTTGCCAGTTTGTCTTGTGCAGAAATGAACACATAATTTGCCATATATTTTCAAAGTGGGCTGAATGTACATGTAGATGAAAATACCATTCAAGATATTTTACGATGTTGTTGATCTATAGACCATCTATAGACCATCTTGCATAGAAATTAAACTTTGTATAAAACTGACATCAGTGATTATTAGAATAAAACCTGTATGATTGTCTCTCATTTGTTCAAATTAAATGTTAAAAGTGTTAATTACTTTGGAAGACATACATGTATATGCACATGCGTTCAGTTTTACAGAGCAGTAAAAATAAAATTTGTGTTCATGGTTAACTGTCGGAGATAGAACAAATTCCTCAACATACATTTGTCAACCATTTGTGCGAGCAGTGTGATACAGGCATCAACTGTAAAATGTAGGTACATGTAACTTTACTGTCTTTGATGACTACAGAGTACCGGAGAGTTACGTCATTTTGAACCAGGAAGTGCAGTGCAAACAAATGGGACACACACGTGCTGGTTCAAGCACTGGTTCTCATGCTAATGCCTTTTAAACACAAGATTGTGCGCATGACATATTTGTTTTGGTATTCTATATTGTAATATGAGTTGTTTTATGCTGCACATCTCTGTTGTAATGAATAAAGAAAGTGCACATTTACATAGTAACGTGTGTTTAACTGGTGTGAATTTTGAGGTGTTTGGTTAAACTCTCGTTTTTATCCTCTTACTGCATAGATAAGTTTGTGGTAAATATACTCTACATCAAGTGGTAGATATTTAACTAGAAAAATGAAATTTAAATAAAAATGAGTGAAAGCACTGACCTTAAAATTTGTACAGGCATGCAATTTCCGGGTAAACAGTCACATTTATGATGGAGCAAACCTATCAGCAGTAATATTAAGTTATTATTTAAACTCTATTCACTGATTCCTGCTGTGACCATAGTGTAAAAACGTGACTTCTGTTGATGTCAAAGCTGAAATGACAAAGGAAGATTTTGAAGGTGAAGTGTCACAATTCTACTGTCTCAAATTCTCCCATTTAATTTTTAATGTCATGTACATGTAGTGTGACCCCCTGTAGGAATACTTAGCACAAATGGTTGTTTTTATTGAAATGATTCAAAATGAAGTTTCAGGAATCAATGTTTACTTCAAATATGTATACTTATGAACCCACACAAAGGGACTGTTTTGTCATTTACAAAACTATATTGTAATGTCCAAGAATACAAACTCTGCTGCACGTTCCAAAATGCTATTAATGATGTATATTAAACCTACATGGACTAAAAATAACAAACTGGAAATTATAATTTACAATATCAGGGCTAACTACAACTTGACATTTTATGATGTACAATCATAACGCAAACTTTGAAACTCAACTGAAAACAGGAATGTTTAAAGTACTGGAATAAATATAATTATAGCATACACGTACATGTATAAGACAGGAAGATAAAAATATATATCTTTGGACGTTTAAGTACAACTTAATTTTAATAAACTTTAAAAAAATCTACTTAAAATTGCAAAACAAATATTAAGAGCACTTGCAAGTCAACTCGGATTTGCCTTTGGTATCATCATATAAATACATTAAAAAATAGTTACTGAATTCCTCCATGTGTATGTTCATGTACATGACTACAGTACCTGTCTCAATTACTCATTTACATACTGTAGAACCTGAAGTATGTGGTCTCAAGCCTTAAGGTATTGACTTCAATGCTGACAAATATAAAACATTTTACAGTTTCAACTATCGACCTCAAGTCCAAAATACAGCTGTACAACTTGATCTACAAATGTTGACATAAAAGCATGTCGTACTTGGCACTATTTAAAACTTTTCACACAACACGGCAGTAAAGATGTAAAAACAAATCTATGTAATTAGCAAAATGTTCGACTTGTTAACCCTAACTCAAAAGGGTGTATATAAAAATTATACTGAAATTGGAGGATTGAGGACTGTTTGGATTAAGCCCCGTCAAATCTTTCCAAATTTTACCCATTTATGAATAAACATGTATGAGGAATCTGGGGTTGCATAGCTAGGCCCCATCACATCAGGTCTCAATTTTGTTCAATGTCAAGAATATACCACTGGTTTTTCACAGGTCTAAAGGGAACTGTATTCTCCCTAGCAGAAGTGAGCAACAAGTTAATATACACTGACTCCTAACGAAAATAATTATTTGAAGGATTTAAGGTGACATCTGAAAATGAAGATATATGTAGTAGTAGGTTCAATTCAGACAATCTCCTTAATAGCATAAATTTAAATGCATAACTCAAGTACTTAATGACAGATACACCGCAATGCAAAAAGCTGAGCTTGCATTGTAGAAGTTGTACTGATGAACTGGTTCAAATAACTTGATGGCCAACTCTAACCTACTCACTTGAAATTGTCAAAAGTGACTAATGGAGACGGAATGTACTGGTACGACTGCTGCAAAGTACACATACGCTACCTAAAACTTGACAAAAGTCCCACTGTTGCGTTATGTTACTTCTGGGAGTGATTTTCCACACGGATCTGGATCATTAATACCAATGCTGCTTCGCTCCATTCATCAGGCAGGGTCTGGTTGACATGAACAAATGTCTGATTACGGATCCTGATCCACATAAAACAAACAGGCCTTCTTATAATGACCCTGGGTGTGATTCCAGTGGTTCTATGCTATACAGGTTTATAGCTTCTCACAAATATAGAGGAAACAACCAAATGGGGTTGGACAGCTCTGTTGGTAGAATATGGGTAGGGTGTTCAAAAGGTTGCAGATTGTGGAAGTCACAGGTTCAAATCCTTCTTGAATCATTTCTTTGCTCATACATGAAGTTGTAACTTTCACCAGAATCACAAGAACTACCAAACTTTTTTTTCCTCAAAAATGTTCCAGTCATGACAATGGCATTAATTGCTCTTACACATTTGCAGCCATCAATGAAAGTCTATCCATAAGTTTTTGGGAAGGTTTGACAATACTGACTAAATGTCACCCAAGAATTATTGGTATATATACATTCAGCATTAGCACCTATTCTTTTGAACACTGCAGTCAATTTCACTCTTGGGTGGATTACAATAATGTGCCCATATATAATCGTGTACACCACCAGGTTCAACATAATCTATAGTCTTATCCAACATCATGTTCAGCCTAGTGTCTTTATACCAGCTGGACATAAACGCCCTGTACATCAACAATGTCACCGCTGTGAAATCAAACCTGTGAGTGTGTGTTCGACCGTATGGCACCACATCATTTGAAACGGCTCCAAACGGCGCAATGCATTTCAGCTTTGAGGCGCAGGCAATAAGTGGACTCCACAATTTTGTATGAAGATAGGAGCTATTTACAACCAGCAATGCATCCTGGGACGCAGCAGGGCCATTAGGAAAATGTTTCTTAAAGTCATCGATGTGAAGACCAAAGAGATGATACAAGGAAGGGTGGGTAGTCTCTAAAGTTGTGTTCTTTTTGTCCGGTTTGGCGATGAGTCCTTTGTGGGGTATGATGAATGGAAACAGGAGATTGAGTGGGGCACGGAAACGGATGTGAGGATCAACAAAGAAGAACGCTCCATATTCATTCAGGATGTCCTGGATTACATGAGATAAAATAGATGAAGAAAAACAAAACAGTCACCGATGCTGATCAGAAACAGTACCAAAGGAATGCTGAATACTTGAGGTTTCTCAAACAGACATTTTAAGTCTTCAACTACTTCTTTCCAGCTTTACATTGCACTCATTTGAATTAAGCTGTGCATTCAAATCTGCAACACGCATCTGATTACTGTATCTCTGTGTAATATGCACACGTAGCATCAGCAGCCAGGATTGGACTTCAGCACATTTATCACAATGGTGCCTACATGTACACTGTATGTTTGAAATAACAGGTGTAAAGGAATAAACTTTGAAAATAGATACCAATATCCTTGGCATCAAGCCAAAGCATCTGGGTTAGATATACATGTACACGCATCCATTATGCATATGCATTTTCACGTAGGAACCCTCAGACTAAGAGCAGAAACTTGTAGACATGGTGTAATAAATGATCCAACAGAATGCTTTGTCGGGAATTGAGTCAAAACTTGAAGGTTTACTCATTGCAGCATTTAAGTGTGCAGTATACATGTACATACATGTAACTCATAGAGTACTACTCACTAATAAGGCAAAAACTCTCCATGCTTTGTTGTCCGTTTTGTACAAATGCTTTGGGTACTTGTCAAAGTTGAAGCGTCGAACCTCCACATTACACATCTGTTGCATCTATGAAGCAGACACAAAGTAGAAATCCACTGATTGAGATTTGAATTTTATGGTTCAAATCTTAATCGTAATTAGAGTAATTTTACCTAAATACACAGTAAATAAAATATCCATACATTTGGCAGGTATCTTTTAACAAGACAACAAAATTGGCAGACCACACAGAAAAACTACATTTTACGTAAATTGTATAGTTGTTCCTTTTTTGTCTGTCCTACAGTTTCAGCAGATTTGTTCTTTTCTGTTCATTAAGGAACAAAGGCTTTCGCTTCATCCTATAACCTACATGTACATGGAGTCCTTCAAAAGTTCATGTTTTATAAAAAACATTATTATGAGTGCACTGTCCTACTTCAAACCATTAAAATGGAATGGGTTTGGTATCACTTTAAGACATTGCTCAACAGATTGCTAATTGACACATTTCACTGAAAACATGTAATAAAAAATGATTAACTTCAGTTGTCCAGAATATCCAACTTTAACAGAATTAACAGACAAACGAGACAGCTTGGGCTCTGACAATAATGAAGCTAATATTATTTGATGGAATCTGTTTGCACTTACAGATTTAACAATTTTGGGATGGATTCCCAAGTTATAGACAATGACTTTCTTGAGGGGCATATGTGCCTGGACTGAGGCTATCATTCCAAGCCCAATGTAAGCTAGATGCTGGTTGAATCCTGTCACAACAACCATCCGATGGTCCAGTTCCTTCCAATCAGGCTCGACCTTGGACAAGTCAATGGTTATGTTGCTGAGGGTGTAGTTATTAGTGATTGGGTAATTGTAAGAGACAACTCGAGATGGGTCACGAGTGATCAGATCAAAGCGCAGAACACGACGGCTCTCCCAAGGCATGTCATCTGTTCCATCATTGTCACCCTGACCTGTATTAATGTGAAAATAAAGGTGAGGTTAAAATCTTCAGATCTTAACAGAGGTGCTGGGTTGACGTCTGTTACTACGACTTGGTGCATGAACAAGAAAAGGGTGATGGGCTGACCATAGTAGCCATGTACATGTACTGCACGTGTATTGCAATTATACAATTGCTTCAACCTTTGAAATTCCATCTTTGTGGGTCAATTAACTTTGAAAGTGATCAACCCTCTAATGTTACACACATGTACACCTCAATGGTCAGAGTTGGGGAAGATGTACGGTATTTTATGAATACAGCAGGCCTACCTTTCGTGCAAAAGTAAATAAAATTCTCAAAATACTGAAAGCCGCAAGTTCTTCCAATCTGTAAAAATGACATCACTCACAATAAAACACAATAACATACATAAAATGGTATGTTCCTTGATCCCACCAAATTAACCAACACCCCCATGTAAAATGGAATATTCCTGTTCCTCAGCTTATGTTAATGAGGGTCACGTGGGGCTAAATCCAACCTTTTGATTGGTCGAGAGCCCGTTAGAACTACGTAGTATCAACTAGTTAGACGGGCTCCACTACTTACTGTATATATATATATCATGAACAATGTCTTTCCTGATTTACCAAGGTACATATACAATGTGCATTACAGGACAAAAACCGCTTGAACAATTTTCAATATTTAAAAAAAATTACACTTTTCAGTTCACTGAACTCCGAAAGGATTTCAAACAGTTTTCATACATTGAAGAAAAGAATCAAGATGTACATCATATTTACAAAAAGGAGTCAAAGCAAAATTGATCTCATGGATCGTATACATACAAGCTAAAAAACAAACTTGATGTAGGTCTAGGTAGGACATAAATGTACATGTAAACTTACCAAAGAGAAGAAAGTAAAGGCCAATGGTAATGAGAAGCAGCAATAAAGCCAGGTAGTGCTTGTTCTTCAACCTCATCTTTGAGAGAACCTGTTATCACACGGTAGTCAATGGATGTGTTGGTTACTACCTGGTAGGTAAATATACAAATGAATGCACAACAGCTCAATGATACATGTAGATGTTCGAGGGTAGCAATGTTTTTTTGTTATTTTCTCCAATCATTTTCAATGCATGAAAACTATCTGACATTCCTTTTTAGTTTAGGTACACATGTACCGGTATATACTTTTATTATAGCTGGAGCGTAAAAACGCCATAGAACAAAAAACAACCATGTAGCTTATGCAACTATCCCAGCACAGCTTACTTGATATCACTTGAAGATTATACTGTCCACATTCGGTTACAGCCTTTTTTTCCCAATTATACAAAATCACGACATTCCTGTGAACAGTGACAACGAGTTTTCAGAGGGTATTAAGTAGGTTAATACACTCTGCAGCACACCGTTCAGTGATCCTACAAGCACCCATGCTATCAAATACCGGAAGCACGAAATATCCATTTCTGTACAACATCATGAAACCTATGAGTATGCCCTACAGTACATGTACACGTACATGTAAATTAAAACACATTTTCAGCAGGAGCGTGCTTTCAAACCACAAAACAGCTCATTCAGCCATGTCAGCAGTGTACATGTACATGTTGTACATGTAGTATTTCTCAACAATAGAACAGTTTGAATTTTTTTCAACTCTTATGATGTACGGCCCAACATGCCCAAGATGCAGAGTAAGTCCAGCATCTGGGCCACCATTCCAAGGGCAGATCCTTGGGGGGAGGGGGCCACATTTGTTTTCAGGAAGGGCTAATTCTGGGCATTTTTTCATGTAACCTTTTATGTCCTTTTTGAGGGGTGAGCCACACTGGGGCTATTTTGGAAGGGAAATGCATGTACATGTCGTCAGGTGCCTGGCAGAAGGAAGTAAGCGCACTTACTCCCTTTTGCCGGGAAGCATGATCACAACAGAAAAAAATGTTCCCGGCAAAAGGGCATAAGAAACACACTCTCTTTATTTAGTAAAAACAGATATAATTTACTACAAAATCAACCTGGGCTGTACAGAAAGCAACCTTTGAACAACTTATTAAAGGACTTGGGCACTTTTTAAAAAATTTTTGCCAAGAAATCTTCATACATGTATTTCATTAAAATACAATAGTTGCATACTTTTGTCCTTTTGCCAGGAAAAGTTTTTTTGGAGTGATCATGCTTCCTGGCAAAAGGTTGTAAGAGCTTACGCCCTTCTGGTGGGCACATAATGATAAATAAAGACACCAAAAATTGCCTCTTTTTTTTCCCAAAGGAAAGTTTTTGGCTCCTTTATTTGGGAGGGATGACCCCATTGAGTCCCCTTTGTCCACTCTTGGTTCATTTGATAATAATTCCTTCACTTTCTTCATTGGTATACAGGGCTGCCAACGTTCAGGAATACACATCATTGAATGCAAGATGTACATCTATCTGTAGTCATACTGGTACAAATACCGGTACATGTATATGTATTTTTGCATGAGTGAAATCAATGAGTTGTATACAAGAGAATATGCTGGTCTCTTTGATTCTGCCAAGGCTTTGTCACTAAAAAATGACATCTGGCACTTACCGACCTACAGTGTACATGTACTATACACTGTACTGCACTCATATATAATTGTTATTGGTCACATGATGGTTGACACTTTATGGTACAATGTACACTGTACAGTGGAACATAGACGGGGTCATTATCATCATCATGACAGGGCTACTCCAGAAGCTACATACTGTACATGTACATTGAGTAGGATACCAGGGGTTTGCATTACCTTTCTAAAAGTGGAGTTGAGTCCTCAAATTCGAGTACAGAATACTCTTGAGTGCTTCGGTGCTGAGTCCTGGGCTGAATACAAGTATGTGTACATGTACACTGGTGATGAGTCCGACTCCCTTACAGATAAATGTATGAGTACATGTACAGTATATTCAAGGCTGAGTACAGGGCTGAGTACCAAAGTCCAAGTGCGAGTTCGAGCACATGTACATGTACCATGAAGGTATTACACAAATGCAAAAGTGAACACATCCACAACACTTCAAACACCATGCAACTATCGCCTTTACCAAGTAAACTTTTATTTGTGTTGAAATGTGAAGATTTCTAAAACGTGAAAAAATTTGCATCAATCAATGTAAACATACATGTACATTGTACGTGTATCTACAGTTGACAACTCTGAAGAATTATGGTCAGTAACACCACTATGCACTATGCTACTCAGATAACCACGACAACGAACTGGCCAACAATGTTTGTACAATGTACATGTACATTACAGAAGCATGGTCATGGTAGTAAGTGTGTATGCATACATGATGGATCTAGAGGGGCCAACGATAAACCTCGTGCAGCGGCAGGAAAATTTTTGAAAACACGCTCCCTTCAACATGTTCAAGTACATGTATGAGCAATACAAACTCATATTAAAGGAACCAGGAAATGAACTTTTCTTAAAATCACTTTTTGTGTATCTCTGTACTCTTCTTCCATGTATGAAAACTGTTAGACATCTTTTTTGAGTTTCATGAACTGAACGGTGCACTTTTTGAAACATTAAAAATTGACCGATCATTTCTGGACAAGTGAGGGTGCTTTTGCTTTGATGTAAATCCAGGAAGACATGGTTCAGGGTGCATGTTTTCATGTTCAAATTGTGAACCCAAAATTTGCTGCCGGTATCTGGGAACATTTCTGTGAAAAGGATTTTTGCTGGATTATTGCCATATACATGTACTTACATGTACACAGCAATAAAATGCCAAAGAAAATAAAATCTGCCATACATGTAGCAGTGGTTAAAAAATCTAGAAATTCTGTTTGCACAAATCAAGGCAACATTGAGATTCAGTGCCTAGGATGACATCATAGTTCTGCTCATGAATATGCAGACTGCATTAGCATAAAAACCAAAAAGCATCAAAATATGGGTTAAAATTGCAAAACAAAAATTTAAAATAAGGTTAATTAAAACCCAAAGATGCAATTTCAAGGGGTTGAGTAAAATTTATAAAAACATTTCCATTTCCTGGTTCTTTAAATTCATGAACACAGAAAATATATGTACATGTACATAGACAACAGATCAAGTTCTGTGAATTTACTTGAAAAAATCTTCTTGCAACATCAATGTTTTTACGAAGAGCAGCTGTAGAGCACCATGCATGTACAGTGTAGCGTACCGAGTCTAACGAAGACAGAAAATACAACAGAATTTTTTTAATTTACAAATTTTAGTTTTCCTACCTTGCTGCTAAAAGATATCAAGGTCAAACCGAAAATTTGGGTCAGTCAAAAAAACCAGAAACAGAACTCTTTTTTTGGCCAAAAAAACTGCATATTGGAAATCTCCAACAAATTCAACTATGAAAAAGTTACAAAAAACTGCAACAAACATTCTGTCAGTGTCAGTCCTCGTGCTGCGACGCTCATGAAGCATGAGCTTGGCTCATATCTGCACTACAATTTCCTAGGGTTAAAGCTGCACAGGCAGAAACTAGACTAGCTGAAAGGCTCCATGTATCTACATATACATACATGTACATGTATAGTGACATCGCCGTGTCACGTTGCCTTGTGTTCAAGGTTGAGCAATGCAGTCTTTGCTTCTCACCTACATGTAGCACTCAAAACCACGATTCGATTGTACATGTAGAAACAGTGAAGTACTCTGATTTTTTTTTCGAGTACCAGGGTCCAGTACCAAGTACCTACATGTAAGGGTTGAATGTGCCAAAATTAAATCCAAGTACAGAGAATCGACTACGGGCTAAGGAAAATGAACTTTTGAGTACTAATAATCGAGTATAGGCCGAGTACACTAGCATACTCGAGTAAGAGTACTCCAACACTACTTTTTACTTTCCTCTGCACGACGATTTGCTCTGTCGAGCATTCATTTTTGCAAAGGGAACACAGAACTGTGTGCTCACACTAAGCCACATCGTCGTAGAGTGAACTGAAAACACAGAGTTTTCTACCAGACTGGTTCAGTGTCATGTTTGGGAGAAAATCCAACATACATGTACTGGGTATTGTCACTGATTGTAGAGAGCAAGCAGTGGGCATACATGTACATGTAACTGGGGTTAAATGTGGGGGGGGCACCCAAGGGTTCACCCTTTTTTCAAGGGGGCACCACAAGAAAATTAGCTGCAGCAGCTGCATATACATGCATATACATGTACACGTATATGCATATAAACTCAACAGAGATTATTCATTGATTTCAAATAGGGGGGCCATGAGCATCTGCTGGGGGTAGTACCCCCCTCCCCTGGCTACTGTCACTGAGGGTGAGGACAACACAACGGTACACATGCTCACATGTGAGACCAGTTTTTGAGGGAATAAGGCTTTTTCTTTAATTTGGAAAAAACAAAACAAACAAATGTCAGATATCAACTTATGTCCTGATCACCTTCCTTAAAATTCCTTGACGACAGGAATTTTTTTCCGAAAGCCGACTCCGAGAATTCCAGCCTCACTTGGCCACGAAGGCCACCTGCCAAACCGCAAATTCTCAGTTTGTGGCCCTGTGTGCTCTGCATGTTCTGAATTACACAATGAAAAGGCTCATTGTTCAGTGGCATGCGGCTCTACTCATGCTTCCACATTCCCGTTGCCTTTTTTCAAAGTGGGGACTATTGTGAAGCTGGTGATTATGATACAAATTTGGCCTTTTCATTTCTTGGCAACACACAAAGGTCAATCACCATACATACAAGAGCCAAAGTCTGCCTTCTTTCACTGTGTTTGCTCGAGCATGGGCCGAAAAGAATAGCTGAAAAGTGGGCTGAGGATCTCAATTTTTACGACGGCTCTTACCGCCTCCCGGCGCGAAGGGGTTAACATGGGGTCACAGGCAATTTGAAAAAAATGATCAAAACTTTATGACCTTCAGTTTTAGTTCAATGGAGTGATCTCCGATGCTCTCACACAGGGTTTGTAGCACTATGCTCTCACAAACATGCCACCCGTCACTGA